GTCTTGGAGGGTCAAGTTGACGTTTTTCAAACGAGGCTGGCCAGTGAAATTCGCTAAGGATGGGCCGAAGGGGCAAGGATGCAAGGGTACCCTCGGGAAGGTTGCCCATCCTCGCTATGCGGGTCAATTGTATGATCTACGCGGTTTTCCTTGAAATGCGAAAAGCGTAAGGTTTCCATGAGCTTCGATGAATTCGTCCGCACCTTCCGCGGAGGTCGGAAGGTATGGAAGGTGGAGGCGGAGGGTAAAAACGACACTGGGCCAAATTCTACTGGTAACGCCAGAGTGGAGAACGTGCTCAAGAAACTGGGCCAGCCTTCTGGCAAGATGGTTCAGAAACGCTGGCCCAGCTTTTCGGGAGGTTTCTTAATCATATGCTCGACTGTAGACCACGGCCCCGGGGCCATGGCGAGGCCACCCAGAGACTGACACTTCGAACGCCCCCCCCCCCCCCCCCCCAAAAAAAAAAGAGACGACAACACAGCGTTTGCATTGCAACGTTTCAAAGATCTGGCGTCCTGATGCTTGTCAGCACGAGGTCCCAGGAAAGTCTCGACCCCCTCCCGGGGGACCAATTTTTTTTTCATCCTGAGCCGTTCTGTTGACGGTCCTGGGGCCCGCCCAAGGCCTCTCGAGGCGGCCAAGGGCGAAAAAAAACCGCCGTCTTGATGGTTTCGATGCGTTGGATTTCTGGGGAGACGAGATGGTGACGACCTACCAGACCCCAATCCAACCCGAGGACCCGAATTTCGGGTTGGGGGGCTACGGGCTTTGGATATGTTTTCCCATGTTCCCCGATACCCCCCCTCACTGGGAATGGAAGGAGAATTGGGGCCTTCGGGTTGGGTTGGTGTGGTTTGGTGGGTGGTGAGATGGGGGCACACCGATCCCGGACCCACGCTGATCCTTGAATACTGCCATCTCCTGGCCGCGACCGACGACAACGGTCGCTGCCAACTCCCCTTCAGATCCAGGGACCGGTCGCGACCGATCTGCTGCAGAATCGGCCGCGATCGTGTCCGCGGCCGAGTCTTGGAAGCGGTCGCGATCCGTCGCGACCGACCTGGAGTGCCGATCGACCGCCACACCGATCGCGACCGAAGCAAAAACGGGGAGGCTGGAAGGCCTCCAGGTCAGCAGCCCGACCTCCAGCCTCCAACCTCCGACTCACCACCTTCACCTGTCGACCTCCAGCCTCCACCAGGTCAGCACACTTCGGTCGCGATCCAGCCTCCGACTTTTCACCTTCGTCTGGTCGACCATCAAGAACGGGTCTCGCGCGAGGTGACGCAGCGACCTTACGCAGTGGTTTACGCGGGCCGCCTGCGCGGCACGCCACGCTGGAAGCGAGGGCGCTACGCGCGACCTTGCGCGAGCAGCTTGCGCGCCAAGGTCGGCGCGAACGACCCCATCTGTTTGCGTCGCCCACCTGCCGACCTCCAGCCTCCACCAGGTCAGCAACTCGGTCGCGACCCAGTGGTCTGGGACTGGCCATCGCTCGGACGTCCATTCCCTGTGTTCTTTTCGGTTTCGTGCGTGGTTTTTTCGCCAATCCGCCGACCCCTTGGGGTTCATCGGCGTGTGAGATGTTCCCCCTCCCCAAACCCCTCCCCCGGGAGCCCGGTCCGGTCCATTTGGAAGGGGGGGGGGGGGGTCCGGCCGGACCGGCCGGACGGGCCGGACCCCCCCGGAGGTCTCATCCGCTCCCGAAAAACGTGGAAAAACACGTGAAATTCGTGTAGGGACGCGTCTGGTGGCCTCGAAATGGGTTTGGGACGCCCCACGAGCGCTCCAAGACGTCCAAGTTTGCCCGAAGACGGGCCACGAGGCGTCCTCGACGGCAGAAGAGGTCCCCACGAGCTCCCCCGAGGGCCTCCGAGATGCGTTCCACAAGGGTCCCTAGACGCCAAAATTGGGCCATTCCCTTCGTGAAATGTACATTTTAAAAAATTCAGCTTTGGATCTTTCCGATGCTCCCCGACGGCCCAAGAGGCTCCCAAACCCGCTCCCAGACGGCCCCAGAAGCCTCGCAGAGGGTCCCCCACAGACCCCTAGAGGGCCCAAGATGGGCCAACAGGCGTCCAAGACGGCCCAAGAGGGCTCCGAAAACGGCCCCAAGAGCGTTCCAGGAGCGTTCCGAGCTGCTTCCCCGAAGCTCCACATGGTCCCAGACGGTCCAAGAGCGATCAGAAACATCGACGACGACCTCCCGACGGCTCACGAGGCCTCCCCAGACGCCCCCACAGGCATCCAAGATTCCCCCCAAGAGGCCCTCTAGACGCAAAAAATCGTTTGTTTCCTTCGTAAAACGTATATTTTTTTCACACGTGCGCTTTTGGGGGTGACGAAAAACGTGGAAAAAACACGTGAAATTCGTGTAGGGACGCGTCTGGTGGCTTCGAAATGGATTTGGGACGCCCCACGAGCGCTCCAAGACGTCCAAGTTTGCCCGAAGACGGGCCACGAGGCGTCCTCGACGGCAGAAGAGGTCCCCACGAGCTCCCCCGAGGGCCTCCGAGATGCGTTCCACAAGGGTCCCTAGACGCCAAAATTGGGCCATTCCCATTGTGAAATGTACATTTTAAAAAATTCAGCTTTGGATCTTTCCGATGCTCCCCGACGGCCCAAGAGGCTCCCAAACCCGCTCCCAGACGGCCCCAGAAGCCTCGCAGAGGGTCCCCCACAGACCCCTAGAGGGCCCAAGATGGGCCAACAGGCGTCCAAGACGGCCCAAAAGGGCTCCGAAAACGGCCCCAAGAGCGTTCCAGGAGCGCTCCGAGTTGCCTCCCCGAAGCTCCACATGGTCCCAGACGGTCCAAGAGCGATCAGAAACATCGACGACGACCTCCCGACGGCTCACGAGGCCTCCCCAGACGCCCCCACAGGCATCCAAGATTCCCCCCAAGAGGCCCTCTAGACGCAAAAAATCGTTTGTTTCCTTCGTAAAACGTATATTGTTTCACACGTGCGCCTTTGAGGATGACCCCCGCTCCTGCACGGCCCCAGAGCCCCCCAAACCCGCTCCCAGACGTTCCAAGACGCCTCCAAGAGGGTCCGTACATAGCCCTCGAGGGCCCCAAGACGCGCAAACACACGTCCAAGACGGCCCAGAAGGGCTCCGACAACGGCTCCGAGAGCGCTCCAGGAGCGGTCCGAATGGCCTCGAAGAGAGCTCCACATGGTCCTCGACCGTCCAAGGGCGATCACAAACATCGACGACGGCCTCCAAACGGCTGAAGAGGCCCCCAAGACGGCCCAAGAGGCATCCACAATGCGCCCACAGAGGGCCTCTAGACGCAAAAAACCGCCCGTTCCCTTTGTAAAACGTATATTTTTTCTCACACGTGCGCCTTTCGGGGTGCCCCCCGCTCCTGGACGGTCCCAGAGCCCCCCAAACCCGCTCCCAGACGGCCCAAGACGCCTCCAAGAGGGTTCCCCATATAGCCCTAGAGGGCCCCAAGACGGGCCAACAGACGTCCAAGACGGCCCAAAAGGGCTCCGAAAACGGCCCCGACAGCGCTCCAGGAGCGCCCCGAGTGGCCTCGAAGAGAGCTCCACATGGTCCCCGACGGTCCAAGAGCGATCAACAACACTGACGACGACCTCCAGACGGCTACAGAGGCCCTCAAGACGCCCCAAGAGGCATCCACGATGCGCCACAAGAGGGCCTCTAGACGCACAAAAACGCCCGTTCCCTTCGTAAAACGTATATATTTCTCGCACATGCGCCTTTTGGGGTGTTCCCCGTTCCTGGGCGGCCCCAGAGCCCCCCAAGACCGCACCAAGACGGTCCAAGAAGCCTCCACGAGGGCCCCGCGACAGCCCAAGAGGGCGCCAAGACGGGTCTCAAGAGGGGCAGAGGACGGCCCAAGAGAGCCCCGAAGACAACGCGCGCGACTCGCGGTCAGATTCCTCGCAACTTGCGTCGCTTCCCGCCGTGCTCGTCACTTGCTTCCGCAGGGCGTTTCGGCGGGTCTCTGACCATGGCCTGAAACGATCGAAGGTCACCCCACGGCCGCCCCTGACGGTTCCAAAAGACACCGCAAAGCAGTTCTGAGGTCACCAAGGGCATACCACAGTCCTCGGCAACAGATGGCGACGGCCAAGACGGCCGAAAAGAACGCCCAGAGCGCCCCATGACAGCCCAAGAGAGGCCGATGACAGCCCAAGAGAGCCCCAAGACAGCCCAATACTGCCACAGGACGGCCTAAGGGGCCCCAAGACAACCCAAGAATGCCCCAAGAATGGCCCAGGGGCCTCAGACCACCCAAAGAGGCGACCAGACCACTGCGCGATTCTTCATAAGGGGTCGGCGGATGTGGCGTAAGCCTGAAGAATCATCAAGGATGCTCCTCGACGGTCCTCGCCCAAGAAAAAACGCACACGTCCGAGCGATGCCAAGGGGAGGTCGGGCTCCTACTGACCCGAGCCAGCGCACACACCTGGGCCAGCCAAGCTCTGCAGGATCCCGCAAGAGATCCTGCAAGAGATCCTGCACGTGGACCCGGGTCAATGCACCCCTGGCTCTGCAGGATCCTGCACGATCCGGCGCTCTGGCCATCGCTCGGACGTCCATTCCCTGTGTTTTTTTCAGTTTCGTGCGTGGTTTTTTTCGCCAAATGATCAAGGATACTCCTCGATGGTCCTCGCCGAGGAAAAAAGCACACGTCCGAGCGATGCCAAGCGCTCTGGCTGAAGCCCGTCCGCACGGACCCCCGACTCCTCGGCTACACGCAAAAGTGGCCCTGGGTAAAAGTGGCCTTTGGTGCGCGGCGTGTGGGGGGGGCGCCGCGAGGAGACCAAACATAGGCGCGCAGGCCGCTACTATATCGCATCGCGCTCGGCGATCGGGGGACGCCATTGGGCCCGCACCAAAGGTCACTCCGGCGAAAGGTCACTCGTACGTCTGGTCGAACGCAAGGCTTCCGACCACGATCTGGGAGGCGGGGCCCGGCCAGGTCTGGTGCCGCTGCTTTGGCCGGCGCGCATCGCGATCTGTCCTGGGGCCGCTCGGGCGCGGCGACGCAGCCGCCGGACACGGAGAGCGCCAGGCCGCCAGGGCACGCGCACCTCGTCAGGGCCGCGTCGCAGAGGACGCCGGCGCAACTGTCGCTGTCCTCCGCCTGCGAGCAGGCCTCCCGGGAGGTGCCAAACCCTGCCCAGGCATGCAACGTGTTCGCCTTCGATCTCGACGTCGACATCGCTGTCGGTTCCGCATTCCTGCAGAACTCAAAACGGAGGTCTTCCTACTTTTTTCGGCCTGGGGGGGCCGTCCTGGGCCCCCGGGACCGTCAACCAACGACTCGGGATGCAAAACCGGCCCTGGGAAAAGGGTGAGGACTCCGGGGGACCGCGTACTGAAAAAATGGGAGCGCCTCGCATGCCTGGGCGAGATCCGGGCGTTGCCACTATTGTCGCCCGGCTTCGGGTGCCTGGACCATCACACATCGATCCGGCTCGAAACACGCCGCAGAAAGATGGGGACGTCTTTTTCCCGGTATTGTACGTTGTTCGAAACGTGGGATCTCGGGAGGGGGGTCGCCACTACGGTAGACACAGACGGGCGGTCAGAGGTCTTGCTGTAAAAAATCTTGGGGGCATATTCTGCATCGATCTTTGTAGGTTCTGAGGTGCCCAAGGGTCGGGAGATAAGAAATTTGCTTTGGGCACCTGCTGGGCCGACTTCTTCTATGATGTGCCTGCTCTACGCCCTGACGTGGTGGAAAAGCCACGACGGAAGGTATACCGTTTTCGGCGCCCCTGGGGTTCTTACCGGGCCCCGGGACAATCAGAAAAATACTCGCGGGATGAAAGATCTGTCTCCCGGGAAGGGGTGCAGACCTCTGGGTAGCTACGTGTTGACAACAGGAACGAACACCATCATCTATATATATATATATATAATGTACGCGTAACGCTTATACATTAAGATTGCGCTTGGCTTCGTACGCATAACAGCCCTACATATATACTTCGCACGTACACATACAATCGTACATCCGCCTGCGTATATGTATATGCGTATACGCAAATGCCTATACAAAGTTAGGTGAAACACAAAAAGCAGCACATACATACGCACACATCTATATATTTACATATAAATATATACAATACGCACTGGAAAGAAGCGCACAGCAACACAAAAGACCGGAAAAAAAAAAAAAAAAAAAAAAAAAAAAAAAAAAAAAAAAAAAAACATGAGCTCAAAAAAAAAGATGCCTGGGAGGATGGTCGCCACCTCCTCCAGGAGGCGCCCCCCCCCCCTGAGCCCCGCCTACTATTGAGTCCCCCAGGGCTCTCCTTGGGACAACCAAGAACGTCCAAGGGCCTCTCCCTGGTCCTCGACATCCTCGAGGATCGACAAGGGAGGGAGGTCTGGGATCGACGAGGGAGGACGGCGCCGATGCATCGCCGACGTTGCCGATCCTCGTCCGCCTCGGCTTAGGTCGGGCATGTCCCCCTACAGGGGGATTGTGGGCGAAAACTGAAAAATAATCAAAACAGACTGAAAGGATACTCAACAAAGAGTCCGAAACTCGTCCCCAGACTATCACTCTCTCTGAAACTTCCTCCTGTAGAGGGACATGCCCGACTGAAGTATAGGATCGACGAGGGATGACGGCGCTGATGCATCGCCGACGATGCCGATCCTCGTCCCCCTCGCCGCCGCCGCCGCCTCGCTCGCCGCCGACGCGGCGCTCGCGCCGATGCATATCACCAAATGTGCTCCTCCTCCTCCTCCTCCTCCTCATTCTCATTATTCTCCTCCTCCTCCTCCTCCTCCTCCTCCTCCTCCTCCTCCTCCTCCTCCTCCTCCTCCTCCCCATCCTCCTCCTCCTCTCCCTCCTCCTCCTCCTCTCCTCCTCCCCTCCTCCTTCTCCTCCTCCTTCTCCCCTCCTCCTCCTCCTCCTCTCCTCCTCCTCCCACCTCCTCCTCCTGCCCCTCCTCCTCCTCCTCCCCCTCCTCCTCTCTCCTCCTCATCTCTTCTTCTTCTTACTCACTCCTCCTCCTCCTCCTCTTCCTCCTCCTCCTCCTCCTCCTCCTCCTCGACCCTCCTCCTCCTCCTCCTCCTCCTCCTCCTCCTCCTCCTCCTCCTCCTCCTCCTCTCCTCCTCCTCCTCCTTCTCCCCTCCTTCCTCCCCCTCCTCCTCCCTACTCCTCCTCCTCCTCCTCCTCCTCCTCCTCCTCCCCCTCCTCCCCCTCCTCCTCCCCCTCCTCCTCCTCCTCCTCCTCTCCTCCCCCTCCTCCTCCTCCTCCGCCTCCTTCTCCCTTCCTCCCCCTCCTCCTCCCCCTCCTCCCCTCCTCCTCCTCCTCCCCCTCCTCCCTCCTCCTCCTCCTCCTCCTCCTCCTCCTCCTCCTCCTCCTCCTCCTCCTCCTCCCCCTCCTTCTCGATTTCCATCGTGGGGGACACCGCCGAACGATCCCGTGGCCCCGCACTGCTGCGCGTCCCGGCGGGTTATCCGACCGCGGGCGCGCGGCGCGGGCTCCACGCCTAGGGCGCTCGGGCGCTCGGCGCTCATGGCGGATGCTGTGGCAGTGGACACCCCAACAATCCTGCGGTGGAGGCTTTAGATAGGGAAGCCCTCGACTTAGTGGGCCCTGGAAACGACAAGGCCGATTTTTTACCGGTTCCGTTTTGCCGGTTCCGACGCCGTTGTTTTGCTGGTTCCGTCGTCGTCGGTTCCGTTGTTTTGCTGGTTCCAATCCTGGAGCCGTTTTTTTTCCCGTTCCCGGCCGCTTTTTTTTGCCGTTTCCATTTTCTCAAGGGACACGTTTGGGGAAACGGTGAAAACAAACGGCCCTGCCGTTTACGGGGCCCACAGAAAGGCCCTCGAGGAGGAGCCCAGGGCCTCGCGACCCGATGGGCGGCCAGACGTGGGCCACGCACCGCACACGCAAGCGATCAGGAGTGCGGGGGCTGGGCCCCGGGAAGACGTGCCTTATCCAATTCCACCAGCACACACACACGCACACACACACAAACACGCAGGCACGCACGCACGCACGCACGCGCGCGCACGCACGCACGCACGCACGCGCGCGCACGCACGCACGCACGCACGAACACACAACCGCACGCACACACACGGACGCACGCGCGCACGCACGCACGCGCACGCACGCACGCACGCACGCACGGACACATGCACGCACGCACGCGCGCACACATGCACGCACGCGCGCGCACGCAGAGCCGGTGTGTCCGCCTAAAATGTTTGACACATGTTCTCAAAATGTTTGAGATCTGTTGTTTCACATGTCTGAGACATGTCTGAACCATCTTTGGCATCTGGAGATAATGTGGCAACACGCTTCCTCTCCTTTGAACGCCGTCCACAACCATGGAGCCTCCCATACCGTCCTGTCGGCTCTTGCGAATCGACACTGAATCGACGCTGAATCGACGCTAACCGACGCTAATCGACGCTAACCAGCGCTGAATCGGCGCTACCTTATCGACTCCCAGGCGCTGATCGACGCTTATCGGCGCTAGATCGGCACAAAGGGCTCCCATGATTTGCTACCGAGCAAGCCGAGGGGCAGTGACGAGTTCGCTCCGCTCGGCGGCGATCGAGGGGGGAGAACCCTGAGATCCTGGCGTCTCCAATTGTTTCGAGCCCGGCGTTCTCGCCTTCGATCTTTCGGGCCCCGGGACCCTCGCAGATCGATCCAGCTCGAAGAAGGGCGCAGACAGATGGGATCTAGGGCTCTGGACAACGATGTTGCCATTTGATCGCTACGTCGGATGTCAGGGAAGTTGGCGGCGAGCGAGGGGGGGAGGTGATAAGGAGAAGGCCTTCTGAGCAGGCGGCGGGGCTTCTCAGAGGCCCTCGCGCCTTCCGAAATGCTCTGTCTGTGTCTTCGGGGAAGGCTTGGGAAACTTCGCAGAGGGCGGGGGGGACTTCCGAGCCCTCTGACAAGGCCTGCCCCTTCTCGCTTCCAGCCCCCCCCCCGAGCGCGCCGCCTCGTGCAGCCCGACCGATCCGCGAGGGCCCCGGGAGCCCGAAACGGGGCAGAGGGTCGCCCGTGGCGAGAACACTCCGCGTCGCTCCCGCGGATGGGACTCGGCCGCGCGCGGGAGGAAGAGAGACGGGTGTACAGTCGAGGCGTTGACCTAAGGAACCCTAAATAAGGAAGGCGGCCCCTGTTGTCCATAAGTTAAACTTCGATTTCGTATCGAAAACATAAGGGAAACCTGAGACAAGCTGTGAAACACCTCCCCAACGAAACGGGTTCCTTCTTCAGGGTGCGGTCCCTGAAAGTTGGCATTTCACCGGATTCCCAGATCCCACCCTGCTTCTCCAGAGCCGATGTGTTGCGCTGCGCCGTGCTGTGCTTCCCCCCCCCCTCGGTGCGCCGCCGATCGAAGGCGGTCCAGGGCCCCCCCACCCCCCCACCCCAAGGCATTCGTCTGCTCCTTCTCTTCCCCCTCCTTCTCTTCCTGAGCCTCCTCCATATTCTTCTCCTCCTCACTCTTGTTTCTCCTTCATGTCCTCCTCCATGAAACCGTAGCCTCGCACGCGGAATGCGAGATCGTCGCGCCCGCATCCCATTCATGTATATATAGAGGAAGCCCTGGACCCGCCGCCGCCGTCCGAGGCAGAGCCCGCCGCGGCGGCGGCGAGGAGCCCCCCCCCGGAGAGGCCCGAACCAGGAGGCCGAAACGCACAACTCGCCATCGCTCGGACGTCCATTCCCTGTGTGTTTTTGCGGTTTCGTGCGTGGCTTTTTCGCCAAATGATCAAGGATGCTCCTCGATGGTCCTCGCCGAGGAGAAAACGCACACGCCCGAGCGATGCCAAGACAAAGAACAAACGTCGCGAGAGTCAAAATCATGTCGGCGGAAGCCCGTTGCCCTCGGCGGCCTATCGAGGGGGGTCGCCGAAGCCGAGGGGCCCCCAGACATCCTCGGACACGGTTGCTTCCAGCCGCGGCCCCCGGAGCTCCCGACCCCTTCACCCCGGGGGGCACTCCGGGTCTCTCACCAAGCGTGGGGGGGGTCCCCCCCCCGACGGGGGTGAACCTCGCCTCGTCGTCGCGCCACGTGGTCAGGAAGCGCCAGCCACGGAGCTCACGCCAGAAGAGCCCTCGGCGCGCGCGCGCGCGCCGCCCCTGGGAGGGGGAGGAGGAGGAGGAGGAGGAGGAGGAGGAGGAGGAGAGGAGGGGAGGAGGAGGAGAGAGAGGAGAGGAGGAGGCGGGGGGGAGGAGGAGGGGGAGGAGGAGGAGGGAGGAGGAGGAGAGGGAGGAGGAGGAGGAGGAAGGGAGAGGAGGAGGAGTAGGAGGAGGAAGGAAGGAGTAGGAGGGGGGGGGGGGAGGAGAGGAAGGGGGGGGGGGGGGGGAGGGGGGGAGGAGGAGGAAGGAGGAGGAGGAGGAGGAGGAGGAGGGGAGGGGAGGAGGAGGGGGAGAGGAGGAGGGAGGAGGGAAGAGAGAGAGAGGAGCGGAAGAGGAGGACGGGAGGAGGGGGAGGAGGAGGAGGGGCCTCCGCGCAGGCGGGGGCGCCGTCGCAGCAGCGCACGCCCGGGAACGGGAAGTGCCCGAGGGTGCCGCAGGCGCTCATGCCATCGCGCCGGCCCCCCAGAGCTCGGCGGTGGACAAACCTCCCTTTAGTAGACCTCCCCTTAGTGAAAACGGCCTGGGACCGAATCCGCCGGACCTGGACCCGCAAAAATGACGGCCGCGACGCCCACTCGCGAACCGAAAACGGCCAATCCTTAATCGACGTGTCAGGGTAGGAGGTCTGTCCACCTCCGAAGAGCCCCCCACCTCGCTGCGCCGAGGCCTGGCCCCCCGGGGGGAGGAAGCTTTCTGCAGGCGGACCGCACAGGGGGGGTTCTGGGCCCTGACCTTCCAGGAGGGTTGAAAAATAACACTCCAGGCCTATAGATATGTCTGGACTGCCTCAGATATCGACAGGAACTAGGATGTCGACGTGCTGGTGCTGTTTTTTTAACCCTCCTAGAAGGTCAGGGAGGGAGGGGGGGAGGCTTCTTATCGGCTACAAGAAAGAGGCGGCCCTGGGTAAGAGCGACCTTTGGTGCGCGGTTTCTTGGAGGGCCGCGGGGGAACCAAACACGAGCGCGCAAGACGCTGCCATCGCATCGTGTTCGGCGATCGGGGGAGCCCAATGGGCCCGCACCAAAGGTCACTCCGGCGAAGGATCACTCCTACGTATAGTCGATATTAGAGAGAGGCTGGTTCTTAGCTGACGCGGGCCTTCTCTATAGATACAAGGCCGGCGCCTTCTAAGGGAGCAGCATCCTCCTAACCCCGAGATCCGACGTAGCGAACAAATTGCAAAATCGTACAAAACTAAACCCTGAGCCCTACATCCCATCTTTCTGCATCATGTTTCGAGCCGGATCGATCTGTGAGGGTCCCGGGGCCCGACACAAGGCTAAAACAAGCCCGGCCCGAAACAATGGAGACGCCTGGATCTCCGGGCCATTCCAACAAGGAGTCTTCCCCCCCTCCCCCCAATCTATACCCCCCCTGTGCGCGCCGCCAGCTTTCCGCGCCCGGGCCCTGCACGGCTGCGGCGGGAGCCCCGGGCAGCCGCGCGCGGCGCAGGGAACAGATCACACGACGGCAGGCTGCTGGCCGCCCTCTCAGGGCCTGCGGCGGGGCCCTCTCTTGCGGGGCCCTTCTTGGGGGGCGGGCGCACGCCTCTGGGGAGCCACGTCTCGTGAGAGGAGGCGCGGCGTCGGATAACATGTTGTGCTCAAGCAGACCAGGAAATACATGCCAGAGTTAGTGCAAGGGAGCTCCTGTCTTCGAAGCAGGCCTCTACACCTTATGCAGCAGCGATTTTGTGGTGAGAGGGACGGAGCGCAGGAGGGAGCAGGGGAGCCGGACCGCCACGCGCTGTGAAGCAATCACGGCGGGAGGTTTTTGTTGCGATACATTCGGCCTCTGGGGGGGCCCTTCCACCGGGCCTCGGGGCCGGCAACAAAGCGACCCAGGAGGAAGAGAGCCGGTCCCGGGAAGCGTGTCGGCGGTGGACAAACCTCCCTTTAGTAAACCTCCCTTTAGTGAAAACGGCCTGGGGCCGAAACCATCGGACCTGGACCCTCAAAAATGACGGCCGCGACGCCCTCCCGCGAACCGAAAACGGCCGATTCACTAATCGACGTGTCAGGGTAGGAGTCTGTCCACCCCCGAAGACCTCCGGAGGTCGACAATGCGAAAAAAAGCACGGCGTTTCCAGGGTCCGGGGAGGGGGGCGCGGAGGAGGCACGGCGCCCGCAGGAGCCTCCGCGGAAGGAGGATAAGAAGCACGATTCTGCAGCTGCCTGCCCCCCTCCCTGTCTGGCCTCTGGCCCCTCTCTGGTGCCTCCTCGTTTTCCTTTTCCTCCTCCTTCTCCTCCTCCTCTTCCGCCTCCTTCTCCTCCTCCTCCTCCTCCTCCTCCTCCTCCTCCTCCTCCTCCTCCCCCTCCTCCTCCTCAACCTCCAAGTCCGCCATCACCGAGCCCCATGGCCAGGGAGGTCGCTTGAGCCTGCTCCACGGGCCTCCCTGGGCGAGAGGGCGCGGGAAGCAGAGCGGGCAAGTGAGGCCAGTAGGCGGTGCTGGTGGAAGAGGCCTGCGCACCGCCAGAGGTCCTCCCCGAGAGGACGCGGAGGAGGGGGCGGAGGAGAAGGACTGAGGAGGAGACGGCGGAGGAGGAGGAGGAGGAGGAGGAGGAGGAGGAGGATGGGGGACCAAGAGGATGCAGAGGGCGGATGAGGAGGAGGAGGAGGAGGAGGAGGAGGAGGCAGAGCGTGCGCGAGGAAGGTCCGAGATCCTCACCAGGTTGCCGCCGCGAGGGAGACCAACGGCCCGCCCAGCGGCCCTGGCGGTCGAGCGGGCGACTGAGACGGGGCACGTCCGGCCGAGCCCTCGCACCGCGCCTCTCCGCGTGGAGAGGTCGACGCTTAAGTCGGGCGTGTCCCCCTGCAAGGGGCTTTCGAGGGGGGAAAAAATGACAAATATTCCAAAATGGTCAAAAAAATACACACAAAAAAAGATAGCCCCCATTTGATTTTTTTTGGCAATTTTTGAATCTTCCCCCTGTAGAGGGACAGGCCCGACTTCAGTCGACGCGGGTGGCACATCAGCGCAACTCCTCGAACCGAGTCCAGCAAGGGTTCGCCAAGGGCGGGGGCGACGAGAGGAGCTTCGGGCAGAGGCCGACCCAGGGCCAGCTGCACCATCTCACGGAAGGGCGCGCGCAGGAACTCGATGAGGCCCAAGGCTGCCGCGGGCTTCGCAGCCCAGACAGCACCTGCGGTCCCGATTTGGGAGGCGGGCAGCGATGACGCAGCCTCCAAGCCAGGCCTTGATGCATGCGCATGTCCAGCTTGAAGGGGCACGCGCCATAACCAGATCCACCTGATTCAAGGCCCCGACTGCTGCATGCATTCCCCCCCGGGGGAAGCAGCCAGACAAGACGGGTTTGCAACGTCATTCCTTCTTACGAAGCTCTGGGCGCGATTCGGCACCATTACCACAGCCGCGCCATCCCCTCGTCAGGGCCAACGAGTCGGGTCACAGCGGCATCGCCAGTGGCGTGGCCAACGCGTCCAAGTATGGCGATGTGCGAAGCAAGACTCCGAGAAATTCAATATCCTCTGAGCCGGACAAGGGAGCAGCAGCAGCAGCAGCGGCAGTACTTAGCAGGGAGTGGAGACAAGGCCGACAAGGTGGAGCAAGACAAGACGACACAGGCACGACAAGCGAGGGAGGCGTCCCTGCGAGCAGAAAGACCAACTCGGGAGAGCTGGCCCGGAGGCGAGGTGAGGGGAAGGAGGAGGAAGAAGAGAAGAGGGAGGAGGAGCAGGAGGATGAAGAAGAGCCGCTCAACCCACTTCATCGGAGCCTGTTAGACAGCATACAGCCGCTTCACGTCGCGATGATGTCGGCGTCCGTCTCTGACACAGCCTGGATCGCCCCAGCTGCCGGCGATCCGATGAGCGCAGATTGCTCGACATCGGCCGACTCAGGGCAGCCAGCGGCGCCCAGCCTTGCACGCCCGCGCTGGGGCCGCCCCCACGTCAATGCGGCGCGCACGCCTGCGGCGGGAGGCTCAGAGGCATCCCCAGTGGCGTCCGAGCGGGTGGGGGCAGGGGGGTAGGAGGATCGCGGCGCACCGCCGATGCATCGCCGATGCGTCGCTGATGCATCGGCGGCGCCAGCGATGCACCGGCGACGTCGGTGTAGATGAAACTGGGCCCGACATGCCGATGCATCGGCGACGCGGCGCTATCCTCCGACTCCACCTACTCGAGGATCCGATGTCGTGGTTCTTTCAATACGGGTCCCCAGAAGTCCCGAGCCATTCCCCAGGACTGTTGTTTCATCCTGAACGTTTTTTGACGGTCCCAGGACCCGGCGAGGGCCCCTCTAGGCCGAAAATTGCGGAAACCCTCCGTCTTGATTTTCCCAATACATTGGATCTCTGGCACCTGCTCTGGCCAAGGTACCGACCGATGCCACTACTCCCCATGCCTCTCCCTAGGTGCGTTCTGACACAAGGACTGCGAGGCGAGTCCAGCCGTGGCGGCGAGGGCACCCCAGGAGGCCCCCCAGACGCACCAAAACAAGGGAGGGGTAGCGGCATCGGTACCCTCCCAGACGTCCGATGTCCTGACTTGTGTCGAAACGGGGCCCCCCAAATCCCAAACCAAAACAAGGGAGGGGCAGCGGTGTCGGTGCCCTCCCAGACGTCCGATGTCCTGACTTGTGTCGACACGGGGCCCCCCAAATCCCGAGCCTTGCCCCCAGGCCAATTTCTCATCCCGAGTCGTTCTTAACGGTCCCGAACAAGGGAGGGGCAGCAGTATCAGTACCTTCCCAAACGTACGATGTCCTGACTTGTGTCGATACGGGGCCCCCCAAATCCCGACACTTGCCCCCAGGCCAGTTTTTCATCCCGAGTCGGCCCCCCCCTTACCAGACGTTCTGACCTGTGTCGACACGAGGCCCCCCAAATCCCGACCTCTGCCCCCAGGCCAGAGGTTTGCCCCGAGTCGTTCTTGACGGTCCCGGGGCCCGGTGAGGGCCCCTCCAGAGGCTGGATGGACATGGAGGAAGTCCCTCCGTCCTTGCTCTTTGAATAAGTCGGGCCTGTTCCTCTACAGGGGGAAAATTCAACAATAGCCAAAAAGTTTTGAATATGTTGGGAGTGTTTTTTGCATGTTTGTCGTCCAAAATCTGCCTGCAGGGGGGCATGCCCGACCTAGTGCTCTGAGGCCGTTGCACGTGTGGGTGCTCCTCCTCTGCTGGGGAGGCGGCCTGCCAGGCTCCCCCCTCCCAGGTCTGCGCTGGATTGACGAACGAACAACACACACACACACCTACCCACAGGGAGGTCGGAAAGAAAAGGACTGGCTACGGGTATGGGTGCGGGTTGTCGGACCCCTTGGGAGGCTCCCGCTCGAGCGGGGACCCCCATCCGACAACACGCACCCATAGCTCATTTCGTCCCCCCTATGGGTATGGGTGCGTGCTGATCGTTCGTCATGGATCGGATCGCGAACATCCGGATCGGCTCGAGAGCGGATCCAATCGCCAGCAGATCCTCCCGAATCGGATCGGTACCGCATCGCCGCGCCCCGCTTGCAGCTGGGATTGGCCGATGCCCATGAATAGAGCCAGATCGCATCGAACTGGAATCGCGGCCCGGGCCGGAGAATCGAATCGCATCGAATCGGATCGTAGGCTTAGGTCGGGCATGTCCCCCTACAGGGGGATTTTGGGCGAAAAATGAAAACACACACCCCGAAAACACCCAAAAATAGCCAAGAAATGTTCAAGGAATCGTCCCCTGACTATTCTTTGCCTGCCTTTGAATAACTTCCTCCTGTAGAAGGCCATGCCCGACTCAATCTTAGGCGGCCCAGCTCTCCCCTCCCGGATCGCGAGCGGCGGACTCGGGTCGGGCGAAACGGGGGGATAGCAAAGGGGGGGGGTGAGAATCAGCTCACGTAGCTGGTTCTCCCGGCGCCTCCCGGCGCCGGAGGCGGCCATGTATCGAGGCATGGGCCCAAGCTTGGTGAGGCCGAAACCAGCTGCACGCAGCACATTTCGTATCCCCCCTTTCGCCCGGCCCGACGGACGGCCAGCGACCTTGTTCCACTCGCGCTCGCGCACGAGCCCGACGACGCCGTGCTTCTGCCAGGTGGAGAGGTGGTGCGGCACCAGGTTGGCGGCACTCCTCTCTCGGGGGCCCGGCGCGGCGGGCCGCCACGGGCCAGCACACGCCGGAGGCCCTGGGGCTTGCTCGCCCAGTTTCGGGCCCCAGGAGTAAGTCAGGCGTGTCCCCCTACAAGGGGGAATGTCGACGCAAAATAGAAAATACAAAAAATACTCCAATATGGTTTTGATATATATATATATATATATATATATATATGTCCCCACACTATTTTTGGACTATTTTTGAATATTCCTCCTGTAGGGGGACAGGCCCGACATAACCCTGGGGCCCTGGCGCTCCGCTGCTCTCTCGGGCCGGGCCTGCTCGCCCGGTTTCCGGGCCCTGGGACCCGCACAGATCG